GGCCAAGGCGTCGTTCCACAATCCAGCTGCCAGATGGGGACAAGCGGGAAGGCTGCGCCGCGCTCGCGCCAAGTCCATCCGACCTCAACTGGTTCAGCTGAGCATCCCCTGGCAGGGTGCCAGGGGGCCCGGACTCCCGAGGGCCCCAGGGTCTCAGAAGATTTTGACATTGCGTCGTCGGGGGCCGCGCCTGAGGGACTTTTCGTCGAACCTCTGGTGAATACTAAATTCTGTGTTATTCTATGAAGGAAACGGTTCGTGTACACAAGCTCAGGAGCACGTCCGAATTCTTCGTAGGTCTGCGAGCGCACTGTCTGTCCACATTGAAGCCCCAGATCTGCGTGCTCATGCGAGAGCAACTCGCGTGCCTCACTCCACGGTCGCGGTCTCCAAGAGGCAATGCTTCTGGGCGGGGGGGGGGGGGTGAAAGACGCGCGGCTATTTGGCCTCCAGATGCGCCGCCGATAGATGCGGGCGCTCGAGCGGGGCCCACCCTGTCAGACTCTGTCGGCGCAGCTGAGCCTCGCCGAGAGCAGGGCCCCCAATGAGATGTCTCATGATTACGCAGCCAGCTATAATCTCAGACCTTTCCACGCTAACATGACGCTCAGCAGCGAAAGGGCCACCTTTATTGCGCGCAAGGGGCGCAGGCGCCGATCAGCCTGCATGGCGCGAACCTAATTCCCACGGGCGCGCGTCAAGAGTTGCGAGTTGCACGCAGCATTGGACAGTGGATTCCATGCTTGGGCTCACCTGCTCCGTTTCGCCTCCTTTGTTTGGTCTGCCGAGCGCCGCCGATCCCCTTATTGGCGCGCGCCTGTCCTAGACAGGCAGTAGATGCGCGGCCCTGATATGGTTGCATATTTCCAACAAGCACCCCAGAGCGTGGCCCAGTGGCCTTGGGGGCTCAACGCTGACGAACATGGTTTGGATCTTATGTGTTAGCGCGAGGTCGCGGACATTGCTGCCTCCTCGTTCAAGTGCCCATTCAGGCCCTTCAGACAGAACAAAAAACTTGTTGCCCATCGGGCTTTCGGCCGCGGACATGGGGGCGGTCGGGCCAGAGAGCTTGGAAATAATGGCGCAGTCTTCAGCCCGCGGCCCCCGCCAGGTTTCGAGCCCTCGCGGTGACCTGGCAGGCTTTCGCGAGGCGGGCGCTCCAGGGTTACTCGGCGAGCACGGGCTGGCTTTCTCAGGATCCCACCATGGTGTCGCTCTCGGAAGTGCTAACGGGAGTGGCGCGGCTCCTTTCGCGAACGGGCCATCCAGCAGGACTGGTTGGCCAGATTGGTCTGCCTGTAGAAGGGTGCGTTTTGCAGCCGCGATTGCCGGCGCTATGGCGCGCTCACTCGAGAAGGACCATTCGTCCTTTTCTGAGCACGGCCGCCCATAATTATTTATCGGCCGACGCTTCCATGCCCGCCTATGCGCGGCGAGATATTATGATTCTTCTCAGCCGCGGCACCTGGAACTCAGGCCCGTTCACAGGCGCCGACGCCATTCCCTACGTGACCGACGTGGGGGTGCCACCGCGGCGCGCCGCAACGACTCCAGCGACCGCCACCGGCACAGCACGCATGTCGACGGCGACAGCATCAACATCAGGATGGCAACGGGAGGTGCTCCGAACGGCCGACGAAGTCTCCGCACCCATGCAGAAACATTTTTAGCAAACGCTGGGTTGGGAACACGTGCTCGCTCAGACAGACAGATTGGTGACAGCATGCCCAATCTCTGCCATGACCTACAGGCCACGGGTTTGTCCTTGCCCCCCGCTCCCCTGGACTGGGGAGCATTGACGCGAGGGCTTTTCCGAGGCCGCCCCCCTGGGCCAGACGGTGCCCCTAGTGACCTTTCTGGTCATGCTCCTCGGGGACAGGCTGATCAACCGCGCTCTTTGCCACCCGAGCGTTCCGTCTTGGCAAGAGAACGGCTGCCTTTTCAAGCCGGCGAAGTGTGATTTTTCTCAGAGGGCTTCGGTGGCCTTGCAGCGACTAAATCTCAGAGGAACAGTTTGCTCGCCAGCACGCTCGGCGAGCTTCACCACAAGCGCATTATACCACTAGCTCGCGATTACTGCGCCGCAGCTCTGATTGCGCAGCAGCGCGGCGGTGCGCGCGGGCGCAGCGTTGCCTTGTTGTGCTAGGGCTCAGGCTTTTCCACTAGAGCTATGATCAGTATCGACAAGTCCTCTATCATGCTCTGCCTAGACCCTGCGCGGGCTTTCCACAGCGCCACCCGCCAGCTGGCCGTCGAGTTAGCAGGGGGAAGCAAGCTTCGATCAGGCTCTTGGAAGGATGGACATTCACCCCGTCCTCGCGCAAGGCGCGCTTGCTCAACTTCGCACCAAGCCCCTGCTAGAGAAACGCGCCCCCATCGGGGCACCATCTGGCCGTCACTCGAGGAACCCGATCTGTCTTTTTTTCGAGACTTGACAGCCGTCCTGGGGCCATCTTTGCCGCCGACACCTTCAACGCTGTTTCCGCTGCAGTGCAGCTCGGTGCCGAGTCGGAATTCCGCGATGCAGGGTTTGATTTGCACGAGTGTCTTGGCCAACCTGAGGCTCGCTGATCAACGGCCCTGGACTGGCCGAGAGCCGACCTGGACTTCTCGTTCGTTGACGACTTGGCGGTTGCTGTCGCAGTGCCCCGGGCGGGTCTTGCGCCTGCGCGTGCTCTCGCGTTTTCTCTCTGAAGTAGTCTTGTAAACTGCTTGTCGCGCGGGCTGCAAATCCAACGCCCTGAAGACCGAGCTTCTGGTTTCTTTTAGGAGCCTTGGGCCACGCAGCGTCTCCGCCCGGAGGTTTGAACTCATGAGTTTGGTTCTAGCTTTCCCGCGGTCAAGATTCAGAAGATGCCGCGTTAGCCGCGGATGGTCCTCGCGGGCCCGAGGCGGCTGCCGGGGCTCCCAAGGCCCTCGGCGCTTCGACGCGCGTTTTTGCTACAGACGCCCACAGAAAAAAAGGCCCCCCCACACTAGCGCGCGATCAATCTCTCGATGGGTTCGGGGGCAACAGTGCTTCACTGCAGTGCAGCTACGTGACAGAGGCCGCCCTTGCATTTGGAGCAACGCATCGCGACTGTCCACGTGGCTATAAACCACACGGCTCTCGGCATGCCCACCACCAATAATGGTGCGACTCACGCTTCCAGTTCGCAGGTATCATTCAATGCGCAAAGACAGCCGTCGACCGTCGTTCGTTCAGTTCGAAGGCCCCGCCTGCTCCCCGGAGTTATTTGTTCGGCTCCACCTATGGTTCGTCCGTTGGCCGGCCTTTTCTGGAACGATGATCAGAACTTGTGTGGATTGGTAGTGGGGGATTTGGCTTGGTTGGTCTTATACTTGAGCCCTGTGCTCCCAGTGGCAGGGGACCATGGGGCCTCGAATTCAGATGGTTTGCAGCGAGCCTGGGTGCTTTCTGTAGAAGGTCCGCGCCGCGGTCAAGCGCGCCGAGCCGCGCTAGCTAGACCTGGCACGCTGTGGCGCGACAGGCCCAAAAAGATGTCTAAAGGAACTGCTTTGGAAAACTCGGTTGGGGCTGCTGCTGAAGGCAGAGGCTGTCTCTCATCGGAAGACGGACAGGTCCGATGCCGATGTGGCTCAGCCGAGGCTGCATTGCCAAGGCCCAGCATTGGGCCCATTACTCAAGACAACAAGACCTGAAAGTAAAGCAGCAGCAGGGTCCTAACAGGTCCCACTTCCCCCTCCCCTGCCTGTTGCTTGGAACCCGATGGAACCCGACCAGGACCCCTGTCTGCCCTGCCACGTTCGTGCTGCATGTACTTTCAAGGCACAGGAGGGCGAACGGTATTCAAGACCACGGTGAGACCTCCCAGGGCAGGTTTCGCACGTGGCTTTTATTCAGTTTATATGGCTGTTACAAGCACTTGATCCACCAATGCCGCCATGGGGCCATGGTAGTCAAACTCACGGTGTTGTCTTGCGTTCACCTGTTGTGTTGTCAACCAATATTTTTAAGCCATGTCCGGAGGCCCATCGTGCAATCATGCTGCCCCCACCTTGTGCGCAGTGGACGCAGGACTGACAGCACCTGGGGAACGGCTGCGGCCAAGGTTTACCCGTCAGGTTTATGCGATTTCCTGGCCTCTTCCATGCTCCAGGACGTGCGTTCCAGGTTTCCGTAATTTTGTCAGGGTTCTCAGAGTATTGGCACAAACCCGTCTGTTTCTTTTTCGTTGTCTGGCGGGCCTTTTGCCCGTCTCCGTTGGTCTTGGTCTCGTGTGGCTTGCCTGCGAGATACAGTGCCGATGATCCTGCTTCGGTACCATGTTCCCAGGATCCCGTATATCATCACATTACTTCATGCGTTGCATATTGGAGGACAACCAGGGTTCCCAGTGACTTATGTCAATAAGGTGTGCAAGGACCGAATCATTAGTCATTCCTCTTTCTCAGTTCATGGATTGCTGCTCAGGCGGGAGTTGGTGCATAGGGAAATACCTTTGAGTGAATGTTAGGACAGGGTTACTTGCCTCTTCCCGTGTACGTGCACGCTGTTAAAAAGGAGTAACTCAGAGGTGTTGGAGCTCTTGCTCCACCTAGTTGTTTTACAACAGTATCTGCACCAGCCTGGGGCCACTCGCGCACCGCTTTTTTAGTGGTTGCGCCCATGGCGCGGCTTCAGCTTGTTCCACTCTTGGTCCTGATGTTGCCTCTGCTTTGTTCTTCACCAAGTGGTTTTCTCGCTCTCCATTTTTCCATATCGGCTTCGAACCTTTGGCCGCACGACCGACCGACCGACCGAGGAGGAGGAGGAGGAGGAAGAGGAGGAGGAGGAGGAAGAGGAGGAGGACAGGGGAGTTGAGGATGAGAGGGAGGACGGACGCGCAAGAAGCTTTCGGGGAGGGAGGGAGGGAGGACAAGGACGAGAAACGATGCTAATCGGTGATCTCCCGCCCCTGCCCGGGTCGAGGAGGAACGCGGCAGAGGGGAGAGGGGCAGGAGAAGGGGGGGATGGGGAGAGGCCCCCCGGCGCGCGCAGGCCTGCGCCAGCGCACGCCGCTCACGCGCGGACTCGCCAGCGCCAACGGCTCCGCGTCAGGAGGACTGCGGCGCTCTGCCTGCGGGCAGCCTGGCGGTCAGTCGGGGCAACTTTCCTCGGCCAGGAGGGGGGGGGGAGGCTCCAGGTTCGAGATTATCTTGCGCTTTCGTTGGCCCTCGGCGTTTTTCCTTGCCTCGGTGCGCGTTCCAGCAGCGGCGCCCCGCCGAGAGCGGTCCGGGGGTGCACAGATCGTGCCGAACGGCCGCCAAAGAGCCGGGGTACGACCCGAAAACCCAGGGGTAACGTTTGGGGGAGGTAGATTCAGGGGGGATGCGTCGACCCCCGATCGCCCATTGATCGCCGATGGGGGCCCGATAGCCCGCGCCCAGGAACTCGCGGGTTCGCTTTCGGGGGGCCTATCGCCAATCCATCCCATCGGCGATGCATCGCCGATTCCAGCTCGGCTCGATGTTCCCCCCTCTGAGCTGGTCCCCCATAAAGCTGAAAAAGAGAACACGGCATGACCACAAACTTTCGGAGTTCCGCGCGGATTTCCTGGGTCGGCGCTGGACCCCCTGGCGGCGCGTCCGCCGCCCTTCCTGGCGCGCTCCGCGCGCCAGGGAGGGGGTTCCAACGCCGATCCAAGAAATCCGCGCGGACCTCCGAAAGCGTATGCGCATGCCATGCCTCGATGCTCTACACAAGGCCGCCCATGTCTCCGCGAGAGCGCTGGTGCCTTAAACCAGCCTCGAGCCCCGCCCCCGACGTAGCAAACGCGCAGACAGGCCCACCCGGGCGCAGGCCGTGATATGCAATACAGCTCCAGACCCCCCATCCAGAGATCGGCCTGCGGGTATGCCACGGCGGAAGCACAGGCGGGGCCTGTGCCGGCGGTGTGTGAAGTGCGTGGCTGGGCAGGCGGGGGGCGGACAGAGGGGCCCGCGGGAGGCAGCCGCACACCACCGCCGTCTTTGCCCTGCAGAGGGGCCTTCCCAGTCGCGGAAGCTTGTGGGCGACCTGGGGAAGATGGGGGAGGAAGGAGGAGGAGGAAGGAAGGACGGAAGGAAGGAAGGAAGGAAAGAGGAGGAGGAGGAAGAGGAGGAGGAGGAAGAGGAGGAGGATGCGGAGGAGGAGATGGAGGAGGAGGAGGAGGAGGAGGAGGAGGAGAGGGAGGTGGAGGAGAAGAAGGAGGAGGAGGGGATCGAGTACCAGAGCAGCCGGCGCACACGCAGCGGCCAGCAGCCGTTGCCGCGCTGACTACGGCCACGACCACGACGTCGACCCCAGTCGGCGCGACGACCGACCCCCGTCCCCCCCATCCCTCTCATTCCTCCCCCCCCCTTCCTCGCCTCTTCCGGATGGACCTCTCCGGCTTTCCGCTTCCACGAGCGACGAGCGTGGAGGCGAGGGTTTCGCCGGCAAGTTCATGTATTAGTTCTGTGAGCAGAGCGGTATTCCTTTAGTGGGGCCCTTGCAGAAGGCTGTTGTGGATTGTCAGGTCTTGTTTCGCCCTTTGGCGCCCCGGTAAAGGTGCATGATCGTGATGCTGTCGTGGTGTTGCACCCGGTGGCCGCTGCAGGCTGTGCATGTCGAGGGCCCTGCTGCCGCCAGCGTGCTGGCTTGGGACGCCCAGAAGGGAAGGACGATGATGATGATGATGATGATGATGATGATGATGTTGTTGTTGATGATGATGATGATCATGATGATGGAGGTGGTGGTGGTGGTGGTGACGATGACAATGATGATGATGATGATGACGATGATGATGATGATGATGATACTAATCATATTGATGATGATGATGATGACGATGATGACCACGATGATGATAATAGCAATGATGATGGTAAATGATGATGATGCTGCTGATGCTGATGATGATGCTGATGATGATGCTGATGATGGCAATGATCATGCCGATGCTGATGCCAGTGAAGATGATGCTGATGCTGATGATGATAATGATGATGATAATGACAATGATGGTTATGATGATGATGAGAGTAATGATGATAATACTAATGACTTTGATGACGATACTAATGATAATGACAATGATGATAAGGATGACGATGCTGATGATACTAATGCTGGTGATGATGGTGATGATGATGCTACTAATGATGCTGATGCTGATGCTGATGCTGATGCTGACACTGACACTGATGACGATGGTGATGCTGGTGCTGATGCTGATGCTGATGATGAGAATGCTGATGAGTATGATGATGACAATGATGAGCCAGATGATGCTGATGATGATGAAGATGATGATGACAATGATGATGGTAATGGTGATGATGGGGATGATGATGATGATGATGCTGACAATGATGAAACTGATGATGCTGATGATTGTGGCGATGATTTTGATGATGATGGCGATGATGATCATGCTGATGATGCTGATGCTGATGATGCTGATACTGCTGATGCTGATGTTGATGCTGATGACATTGATGATGATAATGATGTCGATGATATGCATTATGCTGACGCTGATGATTACGATGATGATGATGCTGATAACGATGGTGCTGCTCTTGATGATACTGATGATGGTAATGATGATAGTGCTGATACTGGTGATGATGCTGATGAGTATGATGATGCCGATACTGCTGATGATTATACTGATGCTGATGATCATGATGATGCTGAGGATGATGACGATGGTGATGCTGATGGCAATGCTGTTGACGATGTTGAGTTTGATGAGAATGCTGATGCTAATGCTGTTGATGCTGATGATGATGATGATGCTGATGATCATGACGATAGTACTGATGGTGTTGATGACGATAACGATGATGAGAATGATGGCGATGCTAATAATGATGAGGTTGATGATGGTAATAATATATATATATATAATATATGTATATATGATGCTGCTGACGCTGACGATGATGCCGATGCTGCTGATGATGATGGCAATGCTGATGGTGATGTTGCTGTTGATGCCAAGCATGGTGATGTTGATACTGCTGACGCTGATGCTGATGCTAATAAAGATGCTGCTAATAGTAACGATACTAGTAATTATCATACTTAACGTGATGATGCTGACACGGGTGCTGATGATGATCATGATGTTGATTATGATGCCAGTGATGATGATGATGCTGATGATGATGACGATGATGATGATGATGATGACGACGATGATGACGATGATGATGCTGGTGATGGTGATGGTGATGGTGATGATGATGATGCTGATGATGATGGTACTATTGGTGATGATGATGTTGGTGATGTTGATACTGATGGTGATGCGGCTGTTGATGCTGATTATGATGTTACCGATGATAGTTGTGATATGATGATGCTGGTAATGCTTCGTCTGATGCTGCTGCTGATGCTGATGCCTATGGTGATGCTGATGACGACGTCGCTGATGGTGATGATGCTGATGGTGGTGATGATGGTGATGGTGATGGATGATGATGACGATGATTATGGTGCTGCTGACGCTGATGGGAAGTTGGAGGAGAAGGAGCAGGAGGAGCAGGAGCAGGATTAGCCGGAGCAGGAGAAAGATCACGACGACGACGACGAGGACGAGGAAGAGGAAGGGGGTAGGTGGAGGAGGAGGGGGAGGAGGAGGAGGAAGAGGAGGAGGAGGAGGAGGAGGAAGAGGAGCAGGAGCAGGAGGAGCAAGAGGAGGAGGGGGATGAGGAGGAGGAGGAGGACGGAGGAAGAAGAGGAGGAGGAGGAGGAGGTAGGAGCCGAGGAGGAGCAGGAGGAGGAGGAGGAAGAGGAGCAGAGGAGGAGGAGAGGAGAGGAGGAGGAGGAGGAAGAGAGGAGGAGGAGGAGGATGAGGAGAGGGGGGAGGAGGGGGGGGGAAGGGGAGGAGGAGGAGGAGGAGGAGGAGGAGGAGGAGGAGGAGGAGGCGGAGGAGGAGGAGAGGAGGAGGAGGAGGAGGAGGAGGAAGAAGGAGGAGGGGGGGGAGGAGGGGAGGATGAGGGGAGGAGGAGGAGGAGGAGGAAGAGGAGGAGGAGGAGGAGGACGAGGAGGAGGTGGAGGAGTAGGAGGAGGAGAAGGAATAGGAGGGAGAGGAGGAGGAGGTGGAGGAGGAGGAGGAGGAGTAGCAGCAGCAGCATGAGGAGGAGGAGGAGGAGGAGGAGGAGGAGGAGGAGGAGGAGGACCTCTCCCCTTGCCAGGACGCTCCCGCAAAGGACAGCCCCTTGGCAGAGGACCTGCCCGTGCTCGCGGTGCCCGCCCGCGGGCGGCCGCGGGGCTGCGGCGGGCTGGCCCCCACCCGGGGGAGGCCTCGGTCTTGGGGGTGGCCCAGGCTTTTCCAGATGGGGTGCGAGTAGATTGGAAACAGACAAAGAGGGACATATACATAAGCTTTCCACGGTCCGCGCGGATTTCTTGGATCCGCGCTGGGGCCCTTTGGCGGCGCCTCTCCTGGCGCGCTCCGCGCGCCAGGGAGGGGGGTCCAGCGCAGATCGGACCGTCGACATTTTATGTATATGCCGTGTTTTCTTTTATAGATGGGGTCGGAGGATCGCGCCGCATCGCCGATGCATCGGCGATGCATCGGCGATGCATCGGCGATCCGCTCGATGCTGAGCCCGATTTTCTCCGCGCTGGCGTCTCCGATTACCGCCCACGTCGCCGATGCATCGGCGATGTGGCGCGATCCTCCGACCCCATCTACTCGGACCACATCTGGGGGGCCTCTAGAAGGGGGGGATCGCGATTCGAGGTTTTTATGTTTTTCACTTTTTGGGGCCTTCGGCGGTTTTCCAACCTCAGGATGCGTTCGAGCAGTTGCGCCTCGCCTAGAGCGGTCGGGGGGAGGGGGCCGATCGTGCCGAACGGCCACTGGGGACCCGAGTTATGACCCGAGAACGATGGGGCCCCAGGAGGGCCTCGGGCCTGGGGCCCCTGCAGCTCGTACCGACCTCGCCTCGTGAACAAACTTTGACGGGAGGTTGCTCGTTGTCCAGCTCTCGGGGCCCTCGCCGGGCCCTCTGACTGTCAAAAAACGACTCGGGGTGGAAAGCTGCTCCTGGGGGAAAGGGCGAGACCTTTGGGATTCTCATGGGACATCACACGCCGGGGGTCTGGTGACTTCTTCCAGGGACCCTGGAGGAAGCTCAACCATGGATTCAGGCGCGTGGATGGGCTGCGGGTCCCGCCTTCGTATCACATCGGCCCGATCGGTCGCCAAATCAGGCGGCACTGGCCTCACGTATGGTTGGGGGGTTACCTTCACTGATCCGTGAATATGGCGCCCGCGCACCAGATCCACAAAATCTATCATCCATGTCAGCGCGTGCCCGAATGAGTGCCATCCCATTCCTACCCTCTTCGTTCCTGGCCACCTCCCACACTGTCTCCCTCCCGCGTCCCCTCTTCCTCCCCGTGCCCCCGCTCCCCCTTGTCCCTCGTAGTCAGAGGATGCGCGGGGCATGCGTTCGAGATCCGCCTGCCGGCCCAGACAGCTTGCACTCGAGACGCTCGCTGGCGGCAGCCCCCCCTCGCCCTGGCGTCTCCTCCGTCCTCGAGGGAGCAGGAGCGCGCGCACGGGAGCAGGAAGGAGCGGGGAGGGGGTGAGGGGTGTGTGGGTGCCAGGGCAACGAGGATCGGACGAGGGGGAGGCGGAGACGGCGAAGAGAAAAGCGGGAAGGGTTGACATTGAGCAAGAGCAGACCACATCGGGCCACAACACCAAAGCGAGTCGCGTCTCTGACCAAATCAGGCCATAACACCAGGGCAGATGGAGGGGGGGGCGGTTCACGGGGGGGAAGGACGGGGAGCGAAGGGAGAGGAAGGTGGGGCAGGAGGAGTGGAGGGGGCGGATAGGGGCGGGGTCACGGCGAGAGGGGGCACGGGATGTGAGACCTTGGTTGACGCAGAAGGTGGTCCAGCTAAAGGAAGGTGGTGCAATAGATGTGAGGCAATCGTATCTCAATAGATGTGGGGCAATCGAATCGCATGGTACTGCACCACTTATGCGCCCCAGAATGTATTGCACGCTCCGAATCTGCTGCAACCCCACATGTATTGCACCAACTATACTGCACCACTCCTTTTTAGCTGGACCCCCATTTACGCCAACCAGGGAGACCGAGGGGGAGGAGGAGGCGTGCAGGGACGGATTGCTCTGTCCATCGCCAGGGGGGGGGGCGTCCACAGGCGTCTGGCGTCTTGAATGCCGACGGGGCCGACAGCAAAAATGAGGGCCGGCTGCTCTGGGCCCGCTTGTCGGGCCGCTTGTCGGGCCCCGCGGCCTACGGGGAACGACCCGCGGCGCGAGATCCACGCAGAAGGCACCGTCGAGAGTGATCCTCTTTTCGTACAAGTGAACTCATATGGGCGTGGGTCGAAATTTCGGTCGATGGATATCACATAAGGGGGTGCCGTGGTTGACGTTGTGGGGCAGCGCGCCGACATTGGCCAGATCTGGGGGCCCGTAGGTGCCCCAGACTCGTATTCCTCAATGCCTCTCCGAACAACGCCGACTGCGATAACCGATGCCCTTGCGCACACAAAGCAAACAGAGTGAGGCTAATGTTCCACGGAGCGAGCCAAAGGTCAATGCTCCAGCAGTTGAGGGCAGTTTGGCTTGTTCACCGAGGGAGGCGAGTGCGGGGTCATGGCATGAGGATAGAGAGGGAGAGAGAGAGAGAGGTCCACCTGCTGGCACGACGAAGACGACGACGACGAAAACGAAGACGACGACGACGACCCGCGCAGGATGGGGTGGTTGGCGCCGCAGCGCCTCAGATCTGCTTGTTCTCGGCGGCATGCAGCATTGTGAAGCTAATTCGTCCCGTCCACAGCATAGCTGGCATCCAGGGAACATGCAATGTCTGGTGATTCCATTGCTTTTTGTTTCCGTGTGGCCGTGGAGGAGTGGGAAGGAATAGGAGGATGGGGTACCACGCAGAGGTGCTCAATCACGCAACCTGCGTGGAGGATCTGAAGGTTCTCCCTGGCATCGGGCCGAAGGCCGACCGTTGCTTTCTGTATTGGTCCACCTTCATTGCTGATGGGATCTTTTTTGTCAGCCTTGTGGTCGACCTGGTCCTCTCTTACTGCTCCTATGCTTCGCGAATCTGCGCTCCACAGATGCTACACGGGTCATTGCAAGATGACCTCGATTGGCATGTAACAGATGGCCATGTCAAGTCTCTCAGGCGCGAGACGATATCTCGTCCTCCCGAATCCGCCGTGCCGTGCCGTGTTCTGTTCTGCTGGGCAGCGCCGAGTTCTGCTAGGCAGTGCTGTGCTCGGCCTCCAGGATGGAAGAGTTGGTCCCGCGTGCCGTGAGGCGTTTCGGGTTTCTATGCGGGTGTAATTCCGGCGGCGGGCCCGGCGGCACTGAGAAGGGGCGGGCTTTCTCAGAAGGCTCGGAAGCCCCCCAGCCTTCTGACAAGTTTCTTGAGCCTTCCACAGGAAACCTCCCAGAGGGCCGGAGGCCTTGTGAGAAGCCCCGCCGCCGCCTTCTGAGAAGGCCTTCTCCTTCTCATTTGCCCCTCTTGCTCGTCGCCGAGTGTTCTGCTATGCAGTGCCGCTTTCGGCTCCCAGGACGGAAGGAAGTTGCCGCCCGCGTGATGTGAGGCGCTTAGGGTCTCTAACCTCAGGACGTTATTGAGACACCCCCTTGTTATCTTAGCACCGCGCGAACAAATAAAATCCAGAGGGGGGAGTTTAGCCGAACGATGACTTTTAGCACCGCGCCAGACAGCCCCCCCCCGCAACCGACAGCTACAATAAGCACCAGCGGCAAGAACGCAAGGACCTTGACATTCGTTTCGAAAATGTGCAAGAGTTCCACAGATTGAGGACGGCTTGTTTTCAAAATGGGGTTCTCGCCCTAGCGCCGCGCACGTTCGTTCGAACAAGTTGCACGAATTTCACTGATTGAAGGCGGCTCGCTTTCAAAATGTGGCTCTCGAATTAGCGCCTCGCAGATGCGTTGTTGAACATTGCAAGTGTTTCACGGATTGAGGTCGGCTCGTTTTCAAAATATAACTCTCGCCTAGCACCGCGCATATGCGTTGTAGGAAATTGCACGCGCTCCACGGATTGAGGGTGGCTAGCTTCCACATCGCAGCTCTCGCCTTAGCGCTGCGCACGCTTGTTCTACAACATTTGCACGCGCCTCACGGACTGAAGGTGGCTCGTTGTCAAAATTTGGGTCTGACATTAGCGCCGCGCGCACTCGTTTTAAACATTGCACGAGTTGCACGGATCGAGGGAGGCTCGTGTTCCACACGAATTACACAGTGAGTTTGCCTCGCCGCTCACCGCGCGCATGCTGTGGTGGTAGCAATAGTAGTAGTAGTAGTAGTAGTAGTAGTAGTAGTAGTAGTAGTAGTAGTAGTAGTAGTAGTAGTAGTAGTAGTAGTAGTAGTAGTTAGTAGTTCGTAGTTAGTAGTTAGTAGTTCGTAGTTCGTAGTTAGTAGTTTGTAGTTAGTAGTGAGTAGTTAGTAGTAGTAGTAGTAGTAGTAGTAGTAGTAGTAGTAGTAGTAGTAGTAGTAGGCATCGTAGCAGTTAGTAGTAGTAGTAGTGTAGTAGTAGTGAGTAGTAGTAGTAGTAGTAGTAGTAGTAGTGGTAGTAGTGGAGTAGTTGGATGGTGGTGGTGGTGTGGTGGTGGTGGTGGTGGTCGGTGGTTGGTGGTGGTGGTGTTGGTGGTGGAGAGTAGGTGGAGTAGGAGTGGGGGTCAAGCTAGCCAGCTCGAGCGAGTCAAGCATGGCATGCCCAGTCCCACCCGCCCTCCCACAACATAAGAAGCAAAGCTGGCACAACTGGGGGCCGAAGTCACACCGGCCAGCCGGTTTGGTACAGCTGATGCGGCCGCGATGGCGGTTGCCGACGGGAACTGGCGAGCGCGTGTTGAACGCCGCGCACGCATTGCCAGACGAGTCGAGAATGGCCCGGTACACCGCAGGAAGCCTGAAGGCCCCAACTTGTATTGTTTTTTTATAAAAGGGGGGTTTGGATGGGCGGGCGCGGGGTGCGCGCCGCATCCCATTCCTGCCAAGCATTTTGCGACGTGGACGACAGGACGTCCATGCTGAGAGGAAAAACGTTGGTGCGCGGCGCCGAGGTGAGAGCGACATGTCACCCCTTCGCGCGGGGTGTGCACCGCGTCCCATTCCTGCCACGCATTTTGCGACGTGACGACAGCACGACCATGTTGACAAGAACAACAAAAACTGTGTATTGTCTTTTGCAGATTAGAATGGGACGGATTGGATGGGCGGGCGCGGGGTGTGCGCCGCGTCCCATTCCTGCGATGCATTTTGCGACGTGGACGACAGGACGTCCATGCGACGGTACCAATGACGGCGACGACTCTAGAAGGATTTGAGCATGCGCTCGCGGCGACGCGCGCGCATGTCGCTCGCGCGGTGTTTTTTTGCACAGGATTCGCGGCCTGGGTGCACGACAGAGCATCGCGAATGCACCGCGCGGTGACGTCAAATCGCTGGATTTGACCGAATTCTTAAGATTCCGCCGAAAGAGTCATGGTTTTTCCAATGATGTCAGCAAGAAGAGCCGGGCAGGAAAAATTGTAGAATTTGTGCAAAAAACATGGGGGTTTTTTGATGTTTTTATGGTTGAATGCGTGCAAACACACGGTGTTCGGTAGGATTCTGACATGACCGCGCGCGTGGCTCTCTTTGTGGTATTTTTGCCAGGATTATCGCCGTTGGACGGACAGGAAAAAAAAAAAAAAAACAAAGGGGGGGGGGGGGGGGGGGGGGGGGGGGGGGGAAACCCCGGGTTTTTTTTCCATGTCGAGAGGAAAAAATAAGAAAAATATTGATTTGGTATTGTTTTTACAGGTTAGGATGGGACCACCCGGATGCGGCCCCTATCGGCCGGCCTGAGGGGGGAGTAGGAGTATATTCTAATAAGGAATAAGGATCAAGCTAGCCAGTTCGAGCGAGTCAAGCATGGCATGCCCAGTCCCACCCGCCCTCCCACAACATAAGAAGCAAAGCTGGCACAACTGGGAGCCGAAGTCACACCGGCCAGCCGGTTTGGTACAGCTGATGCGGCCGCGATGGCGGTTGCCGACGGGAACTGGCGAGCGCGTGTTGAATGCCGCGCACGCATTGCCAGACGAGTCGAGAATGGCCCGGTACACCGCAGGAAGCCAGAGGTGGCCGGAGGAAGCCCGACGGTCTGACAGGACACCCCAAAGCATTTTTTGGGAAAAAGCATTTGGTTTTTTTTTTATGTTTTTATGTTGAAATGCTTGCAAACACACGGTGTTCGGTAGGATTCTGACATGAACGCGCGAGTGTGCTCTTTGTGGTATTTTTTGCACAGGATTTGCGGCCTGGGTGCATGACAGAGCATCGCGAGTGCACCGCGCGATGACGTGAAATCGCTGGATTTGACAGAACTCTTAAGATTCCTATGGTTTTCCTATGATTTCAGCTAGAGAGCCCGGGCGGGAAATTTGTACAATTTTTGTGAAAAAGCATTGGGTTTTTGATGTTTTTATGTTGAAATGCTTGCAAACACACGGTGTTCGGTAGGATTCTGACATGAACGCGCGCGTGTGCTCTTTGTGGTATTTTTTGCAATGGATTATCGCCGTGGACGACAGGACGTCCATGTCGAGAGGAAAAACTAGGAAAAATGTTGATTTTGTATTGTTTTTTACAGGTTAGGATGGGACCACCCGGATGCGGCCCCTATCTGCCGGCCTGAAGGGGGAGTAGGAGTATACTCTAATAAGGAATAAGGATAGGAGTAGGAGTAGGAGTAGGAGTCAAGCTAGCCAGCTCGAGCGAGTCAAGCATGGCATGCCCAGTCCCACCCGCCCTCCCACAACATAAAAAGCAAAGCTGGCACAACTGGGGGCCGAAATCACACCGGCCAGCCGGTTTGGTACAGCTGATGCGGCCGCGATGGCGGTTGCCGACGGGAACTGGCGAGCGCGTGTTGAATGCCGCGCACGCATTGCCAGACGAGTCGAGAATGGCCCGGTACACCGCAGGAAGCCAGAGGTGGCCGGCGGAAGCCCGACGGTCTGACAGGACACCCCAAAGCATTTTTGTGAAAAAGCATTGGGTTTTTGATGTTTTTATGTTGAAATGCTTGCAAACACACGGTGTTCGGTAGGATTCTGACATGAACGCGCGAGTGTGCTCTTTGTGGTATTTTGTGCACAGGATTCGCGGCCTGGGTGCATGACAGAGCATCGCGAGTGCACCGCGCGATGACGTGAAATCGCTGGATTTGACAGAATTCTTAAGATTCCTATGGTTTTCCTATGATTTCAGCAAGAGAGCCCGGGCGGGAAATTTGTACAATTTTTGTGAAAAAGCATTGGGTTTTTGATGTTTTTATGTTGAAATGCTTGCAAACACACGGTGTTCGGTAGGATTCTGACATGAACGCGCGCGTGTGCTCTTTGTGGTATTTTTTGCAAGGGATTATCGCCGTGGACGACAAGACGTCCATGTCGAGAGGAAAAAATAAGAAAAATGTTGATTTTGTATTGTTTTTTTACAGGTTAGGATGGGACCCCCCGGATGCGGCCCCTAATGGCCGGCCTGAGGGGGGAGTAGGAGTATATTCTAATAAGGAATAAGGATAGGAATAGTAGTAGTAGTAGTAGTAGTAGTAGTAGTAGTAGTAGTAGTAGTAGTAGTAGTAGTAGTAGTAGTAGTAGTAGTAGTAGTATTAGTAGTAGTAGTAGTAATAGTAACAGTAGTAGTAGTAGTCGTAGCAGTCGTAGTAGTAGTCGTAGCAGTCGTAGCAGTAGTAGCAGTAGTAGTAGTAGTAGTAGTAGTAGTAGTAGTAGTAGTAGTAGTAGTAGTAGTAGTAGTAGTAGTAGTAGTAGTGTAGTAGTCGTAGTCGTAGTAGTCGTAGTAGTCGTAGTGGTAGTAGTAGTGGTAGTAGTAGTCGTAGTAGTAGTCGTAGTAGTAGTTAGTAGTAGTAGTATAGTAGTCTAGAAGTAGCAAATTAGTATAGTTCGTTGT